CATTTGGGTTGTTTGTACTTTTTGGCTATTATTAACAATGCTGCTTTGAACATCCATGTATAGGTGTTTCGTGTGGGCATACATCTTCATTTCTCCTAGGAATGGAATTTTTGGCTTATAAGGTATCTCTATGTTTAATCTTTTGAGGAACTTCCAAACTATCTTTCAAAGCAGGTGCACCATTTTACACTCCCACTACAATGAATGAGAGTTCTAATTGCTCCACATCCTCTCCAATGCTAGTTGTTGTCTGTCTTTTGATTATAGCCAACCTACTGAGAGTGACGTTGTAGCTCACTGTGGTTTTGATTTGCATTTCCCTAATAATTAGTACGGTTGAGCACCTTTTCATATCTTCTTTGGAGAAGGAGAAGTCTATTTAAATCCCTTGTCTATTTTTAAAATTGGGTTATTTCTTTTATTGTTGAGTTATAAGAGTTCCTCGAATATTCTGGATACAAATCTCTTATCAGATATCTGATTTGTAAATATTTTCTCCCATTCTGTGGTTGTTTTTTCACTTTATTTTTTTTTATTTTTATTTTTTTTGGGTACGCGGGCCTCTCACTGCCGCGGCCCCTCCCGCCGCGGAGCACAGACTCCGGACGCGCAGGCCCAGCGGCTCCGCGGCACGTGGGATCCTCCCGGACCGGGGCACGAACCCGCGCCCCCTGAATCGGCAGGGGGACTCCCAACCACTGGCCACCAGGGAAGCCCATGCCTTATTTTTAATAAAAATATTTTTAAACAAACCAGAATCATATTAGATGAAACATTTTGAATCTAGATTTTTTTCACATCATATTTCATCATGTGCATTTTCACCTGTAATTTACCTAAAAAATTTCCCCAAAATTTTACTTTAAGGTTATGCTATTTAGTTTTATCAAGGCTTCAGAGATATAGTGGGATTGGAGAAGATGCTGGAAAACATTGCCAAAAAAAAAAATCCCAAACTAGCAAATCAAATCTCCAATCCAAAAATTTAATAACATTCATTTTTAAAGTAATATAATTACATTACAAAAATGTAGAAAGAAGAGAAAACAAAAATACCCATAATCTCATCACCATAACAGCCCCATCATTATCATTTTAATGCATTTTCTTCTGGTACTTTTTTTTTTAAGCATATCTTTGAAGAATTGCAATCATACAGTATATACAAATTTGCATTCTGCTGTTAAAATTTAACACACCATAAGATTTCTTCCATGTTTCTCCCTAGTTTTCATAACTATCATTTTTACCAGCTGTAGAATATATCAAATGAATGTACTATAATTTGCATAACTATTCTTGTATTAGATATTTGGCATTTTTTTCTGGAACCTCTCCCTCTTCCTTTTTTTCTTTTTTCCTATTATGAGTAATGCATAGATTAATGTTTTATTGCTTATAAGTGTTTCCATGCTTGGGATTATTTCCTTAAGATACATTCCTAGAACTGGAATTGCTAAATCGAAAGTTATAATTTTTTTCATGTCTCTCAATATTATATTGCCTGATTACTTTCCAAAAGATTTGAATCACTCTGAAATGCTATTGATGATGATTGATGATGATGCTTTGGGTACTATCATTTTAAAAATACTTTGTTAATTTAAGTTTTTAAAAAAGCTTCTTGTTTTAATTTGCATTTCATTTTATTACTCCTTAAACAGCCCACATAGATGGGATGTTCTGGTTTCATTTCCTTTTAAGTTAATTATTAATGTGAGGAACACAGTTAAGCCTGTCATATATTAAATATGTAGCTATCTATATTTATAGATATATGAATACAAATATATATTTCAGGGGATGCACTACTTTCAAGTTTTATTTCAATGGTAAATTTATGTTTATAACTTTGCCATAGAGATATAATTCTAGTAAATTTCTTCTGTACTTGTTGAATCAGGGTTTGCATATTAGTGAGACTTTTTTTTCCCCCTAAGCAGAAGGGCAAGTGGGGTGAAAAGATAAATTAGTAAAAAAAAAATATTCATTTAGATAAGGTATTATTATATCTTGATATTGCTCATGTTAAAATTTTATAGCCAAGTTCCCATCATTTTGTAGACATCTTTTAGTATGTATTATTTTAAATATAGCTTATTATTTTAATTATCTCCAATTAAAAGCACTTTTACGTATCAATGTGTATTCTAGTAAAAAGGAGCTTTGAATTCTTTCCATTTTGTAATACGGCCTCTATTTCTCTCTTTAAAGTAATTTTAAATATAGCCAATAAGTCCCAAGGAGTTCCTTTAGATAAGCTATGAATTTAAAAATTAACCCACATTTTATTTCATTGTGCTACAGAATAAATGTTAAAGGATTTTCACTAAGTGTTTTTGTGCCTTCACTAAGTAACTTTTCTTTTATCTGATTATTCACACACTGCTTTCAATGAATACTAACTACTTCTATTTGGCATTCTATTTCTTAGTGAGAAGGTGGATTCACCACATCCTAATTATCATTATGATTCCATTACTCAGGTAGTCCTTGGAGACCACAAGAATTTGTCCAGTTACTTGCAGTTACGGTCAATCACTGCCACCTGAAATTAATGCACAATTAAGTCAAGTCATGAATATCCTGATTCAGATGTCTATCTTGAAAAAACGAAGGTTAAGAAGGCATTTTGGGCAATTTCAGAATACATTTTTTCTTCACTGCTTTTTAAAAGAGCCTATCAAAAGCTTACAAAATGGGGCTTCCCTCGTGGCACAGCGGTTAAGAATCCGCCTGCCAATGCAGGGGACGCAGGTTCGAGCCCTGGTCCAGAAAGCTCCCACATGCGGCGGAGCAACTAAACCCGTGTGCCACAACAACTGAGCCTGCGCTCTAGAGCCCGAGAGCCACAACTACTGAGCCCTCGTGCCACAGCTACTGAGCCTGCGCTCTAGAGCCTGCGAGCCACAACTACTGAGCCCTTGTGCCACAACTACTGAAGCCTGCGCGCCTAGAGCCTGTGCTCTGCAACAAGAGAAGCCACAGCAATGAGAAGCCCCCGCTCATAGCAACTAGAGAAAGCCTGTGGGCAGCAACAAAGACCCAATGCAGCCAAAAAGAAATTTAAAAAAAATGTTTACAAAATTATATCCATTTACTTACCACTTAACTTTGGATTTTTTAGAAATTTAGGAAGCTCTGAGGGTGGGCACTTATTTGAATCAAAACGAGGGCATTTTTCTGTTCCACTTCTCCTCCTCCATTATTATTTTCATCCCTCGCTGTGGCTGGTTCCTTCTTTCTTTCCCTATTACTCTTTTAACTTTATCTAATCCAGGTCCGTATTCCCACTTTATTCCCTCCTTCTGGGTGCCCCTCCTTTTGTCTTGCCCTGCCCTTTCTTTGAAAACCACCAAATATCTAGCTGTGTCTCTAGTTATCTCATTTTTCATAACTGCTATTCTTTTTTATATTAATATTTGTTGTCCTAATTTTCATACAGTATCACAGTAATTCATGCCCATTACAAAGACTGCAAAAACACAAAATGTAGGAAGAATTGAAAACCACCAGTTATTCCAAGAGGTAACTACTATTAACTCATCCCTGTATGTCTTTTGTCCTCTTTTCATTAAAAAAAACAAACAAACAGGGCTTCCCTGGTGGCGCAGTGGTTGAGAGTCCGCCTGCCGATCTAGGGGACACGGGTTTGTGCCCCGGTCCGGGAAGATCCCACATGCCGCGGAGCGGCTGGGCCCGTGAGCCATGGCCGCTGAGCCTGCGCGTCCGGAGCCTGTGCTCCGCAACGGGAGAGGCCACAACAGTGAGAGGCCCGTGTAACGCAAAAAAAACAAAACAAAACAAAACAAAAACTTAAATCAGGATCTTATTAGATACATATTGTATCTAACTTTTCTCACTTCATATTTCAACACAAGCATTTCACCTCTAATTTATCTAAAATGTGTAATACCTCACTGAAAAGAAATTGGAATATCTATAAAAGCAAGATGAAAATGAAAATCACCCAGAGATAATCACTTTTCACATTTTGATCTGTTTATTTCTGGTCTTTATTCCTATGCATATTGTTACAAAAGCTGGATCATACTCTACATATATTTTATAAAATATTGAATTTTGTGTAAAAATTTTCAACATTTCCTCAACAAACATTCATTGAGCACTTAGTAAGTTCTGGGTGTTGGGAAATACAGAGAAGGAGACGGAAAATGCCTTCACTTTCATACAGCTTACTTTCCAGTGAGGAAGAAAGACAATAAGCAAACAAATAAGAAGAGATATGACATCCTGAGGGACAGGTGCTAGGGAAAAAGAAAGCAGAGCGAGGGGATGGAGAACAATGTAAAGGGTGCTGGCTCCTTTGTATGGGGTGGTGAGAGGAGGGGGGGCGCCCAAGGAGATGATATCTGAGCAGACATCTAAAGAAAAAATATTAAAAATACAATATATTTTTTCTGGATTTTGTGTTATTTGTAGTGGATTTCTGCTTTTTAAGTGTTTAACTTGAAATTTCTCCTTTTTATCCTTTTTAAAAAAAGATTTTTTGATGTGGACCATTTTTAAAGTCTTTATTGAATGCGTTATAGTATTGCTTCTGCTTTGTGTTTTGGTTTTTTGCCCATGAGGCATGTGGGATCTTAGCTCCCCGACCAAGGATCGAACATGCACCCCCCGCATTGGAAGGCGAAGTCTCAACCACTGGACCGCCAGGGAAGTCCCTCTCCTTTTCATTCTAAATAAATATCTGCCTTTATCCCAAATTTTGTATCCTTTTTCTTAAAGAGGGCCCCTAAATGGAATAGGCATCAGCGCTCACAAATCGCGAATCTGTGGCTGGCAGTGCTCTCTGCGATGGGGGCTGGCAGACATAACGCTTAAAGGGAGAGTGATGTTGGGCGTCAGTCCTTAGACTCCACCATACTGATGGGTGATCACTGGCTCAGCAGATCAGAAGCCCAATCTGGCAGTGGAAAAGCCCAGAAGCAGAATCACATTACGTAATTCTGGGCAGGTTTAAGATTTGGGTCGGGAATTCCCTGGAGGTCCAGTGGTTAGGACACGGCACTTTCACTGCCATGGCCCGGGTTCGACCCCTGGTCAGGGAACAAAGATCCCACTAGCTGCGGGGGCGTGGCAAAAAGGATTTGGGGCCCCAAGTACATCTGAAAGTGATGCTGGAAACAAGAGGGTGGGTTGAATACACATATAGCAAAAAGTTATGTGCCCAGATTCCACCGCCACCTCATGCATCACCCTGGCTGATGGAGCTTGATTTACTCCAATTCATTCTCTGAGCTATTGCTATCAGCCATTTACCTTCTTCAGACACCTCTGTTTTTTTTTTTAACATGTCAAAGTCTTCTGAAAACCCAGGGTCTGCTTGCACTCAGATAAGCCCCTCTATGCCTTCACGGGTTCGTTTATTTCTTGACAGAAGAATTTTGAAACCCAGACCAATTTGTTTCCATGCTGCAGAAAGTGGAAGGTTTTAAAGCAGTCAAATGATGAAGGAATTAAAGTCTGTGTCTGCTGAGGCTCTAACATCCTGTCAGAGGAGACATTTGCTCGGCACACTCCCACCCTCGATGCCACGCAGAACACTCAGTGATGTGGCAGCGTTTGAAACGCCATGTTCCACACGTGCTGCTTATTCTGTGGTCTGGAAAAGTAGAGGGGGGTATTATTACTGTCACTTACTTTGCTGCCTTTTGAGTATTAGAGCCAAGATTATTTCAGCTGCATAGATCCTGTATTGCAATGATAATGTGGATGGATTTACATATATAGCTCCCTAGCGAATGATTTTTAGAAACAATTTTCAGGAGAGTTAAAGGTAGCAATAGATGAAAAGCAACTTAATTACTTAATCATAATGAAAAGTTACCAACCTTTCGGAGGATAATGCTGTTGGAGAAACGTCTTTCCCTTCATTTTTCCATTTTCCCAGCCTTGGTTCCATATACACAAGTAAGCACCGCACTCTGGTGAAGCCTGCCGTACTCAGCCCACCGTTTCTGAACTCCGGCTGCAGTTCAGAACAACCTGGAGATCTTTTGAAACATATTAGTGCCAGGACCCCATCCCCAGACACTCAGGTTCAGTTGTTTTGGGGGTGGGGCCCTGGCTCTGATAGCTTTTCAAGCTCCCCAGGTGGTTAATCATGGAGCCAGGATTGAGAACCTTTGCACCTGGGAAAAGATGGGCAGGAATGTGATCTCTCCTGCTCCCAAGGAGCAAAGTAGCAGACAATACTGGTGACTGCAGGGAACTCAGCCCCTGGGGTTACCAGTTTCCAGTGACAACATGCTGATGTCACCTGTTCCTTCCTTTTCCTCATCATGAGGTACTCAGGGCTTGAAATAGGAGGGTATCTGGGGTCTGTGGGGCACAACTCTCAGCTCAGGCTGTGAAGGTAACTGTCATAGAAAGGATGCCCTCCCTCTCAGCTAAAAACTCAGAGTCAGAGATGTGGGCCAAGAGGATGAGGACATTCTCAAAGTGACTGAGACTTTATTGCTGGAAGTGGTTCGGTGAAAAGAAAAGGAGGATCTACATAAAAGAATCCAGTGGTGGAGAAGCACAGATCACAAAGCACAGGGAGCAAGGAGGGCACACCTAAGAGGCCTTGAGGAGAGTTCCTGGAAAGCCTAGCTACTGAGGCTTGCAACAAAAAGCTATGACAACAAAAAGGGCTGTTTTAATTAAGTCTAGAGTAAGAGGTTCAGGGAGGCACATCTGGGTTCACTATTTGGAGGCAACTGCATAATTTTGATGGATGAGAAAAGAAAGTGAAACTCCACAACTTTTAATTTCTGTTTACTCTGTCAAAGAACATGATCACTGTACTGAAAAAGATAGGATGGTCTTTGGTTAGAAAGAACTGAGATCCAAGATAGAAATTTTAACTGAAAAAAAAAAAAAAAAGCCAAAACAGCTAAGAAAATTCTATTTAAAAAGAAAGTAATTAAAATGGGGTTTAAAAATAAAATAAAATAGGAATAGATAGATTAGTGGAACAGGGCAGAAAAGTAAGGCATCTGAACACATTTTGAAATTTACCATATGATAAAAGTGGCATTTCAGTGGGGAAAAGGTAAATTAATCAAAATGATGATGGGGCAAGTGGCTAGCCATTTTGAAAAACAAAACGTTGGATTCCTACCTCACTCCTTATAACAAAATAAATTTGAGGTATATTTTTAGATACCAGAAAAGCACCAGTAAATATATATATATGATCTTGGAGTAGAAAAGAATTTTCTGAATTTATATATCTATATACACATACACATATACATGTACACACATACATACACACACATAAAAAGCACACTACAGGGACTTTCCCGGTGGTCCAGTGGTTAAGACTCCGCGCTCCCAAGGCAGGGGGCCTGGGTTCAATCCTTGGTCAGGGAACTAGAGCCCGCATGCTGCAACTAAAGGTCCTGCATGCCGCAACTAAAAATCCTGTATTCGGCAACGAAAATCCCACGTGCCACAACTAAGACCCGGCGCAGCCAAATAAATAAATATTAAAAAAAAAAGCACACTACATGTTTGTTTATGAACCAAAAAAAAAAAAAAAAAAAAAAAAAACCCCAATACACACCACACTTAACAGAAGTTATTTCTGGGGCATAAAACTGGAGGGCAACAAAGTGAGACAGTTTCTCGCTCCTCTCTCTCCATTTATATTCTCTCTATATATACAGAGAGAAAGATACACATGTAGATGTAGATGTAGATATATATACACTAAGTTAATAACTAAATACATATTTTATATATAATAGAACTATATAATTTATATTTAATATGTATTTAGGTATTAGTTTATTTAGTTTTATAGAGAAGATATATAGAATTTTAAAAACTGTAAAAAATCAACACTGGTTAAGAGTTTGAAGAAAAGCACTTGCATGCTCTAAATAATTTCAGATTTTTTTGACCCAGACAGATCTCCCCTCAGGGTCCTGAAAGAATGTGAGACATGGCTAAGTCATAGGCCAGGAAATGGAAGACTTACTGAGCTGGCATTATGCTGGGTAGTTCAATACTGACTAGTGGGGCTTGGAAAGGAAGCAATAATTACTAGAAGCAAGCATCACCAACAGAAAGTTCTGTTGGTCATGGCAGTAAGGAAGGAAACCTGCATTGCATCTGAGCTCTGCTACTTACCACCTTTGTCAACTTTTATGAGTTACCTAAACTCCTGGAGCCTTGGCCTCCTCATCGCAACATCATGGAGCTGTGTGAGTGTTGTATGAAAGGGTCCTAGAAATGATTCCCAACTGTAAGGGGCTGTGCACAGGTAAAGGATTATTATTTTTTCACAGGGTTATTAGATTGGTTCATCAGAGGAATGTGGTAGACACAGTATATCCAGACCTCAACAAAACATCTGACAATATCTTCCACTGTATCTTTTAGGAGAGGTTGGAAAATATGAGTTAGATGCTGGGACAAGTGAGGAACTTGTGGAATGACTGTGCCTAGGGAAGCTGCACTAGTAGACTGACAGGAAATTTCTATTGGCCTGATACAGGAGTCTAGGTCACACTCTATCTTTTGCAATGTTTTAATTCTCATCAAATTTGCAAGGGACATGAAGTTAAAGACAGAAAACTTGTCAGAGACAGAAATCCAATCTAAAACATCCTGGCAGGCTAAAACAAAGAATTTTCAAGATAAAAGGTAACTAGAATAACTGTGTTTTATAATTACTTGGGGGTTAGGGGCACCGATCTTTTGCGTGGTCGAAAATAGCATGTAATGTAGAATTGGCCCCCCACATCCTCCAATCCTCTGTATCCATGGTTCTGTAGCCATGGATTCAAGGAACCGTGGATCAATTGTGTAGTATTTACTACTGAAAAAAATCCAGATATAAGTGGACTTGCAAAGTTCAAATCCGTGTTGTCCAAGGGTCAACTGTATATCAAAAATAAAATGTGCCAAGATCTTTACAAAAATATAAATCCCAGAGCTAGCAAGGGTTAGGAAAACAGGTTACTTCATAAACTCTTGGTAAGAGTATAAATAGGTACACTGATGAAGGAAAATTGACAATATATATCACTGGCCTTAAAAAAACAGGCCTTAAAAACAAGTATATTCTTTGACCCAGAAAGCCACTTTTGAAAATGTGTAAGATGCATAAAATAACAAAACCAGAGCTGGCCATCCTAGCATTATTTATGATAGAGAATAACTATATATAACATATATATCTAATGGTATGAATTTATAAGTATAGTATTTACATAGGATAAAGTACTAAAAAGCAGTGATTCTCAGCTGGGGATAATTTTGCTCCCATGGGACATTTGGCAAAGTCTGGAGATATTTTTGGCTGTCACAACCCGTGGGGAAGGGGAGATGCTGCTGGCATTTAGGGGGTAGAGACCAGAGATACTGCTAAAAATTCTACAGCGCGTAGAGAAGTTCCCCACAACAAATAATTATCTGTTCCAAAATGTCAATAGTGCCCAGAAATAGTGTTGAGAAACTCTGCTGTATGGTCTTAAAAATTATGTGGAGAAAGAATAATGACAGGAAATGATACGGGAGAGTGTTTAAACATTTTGTAAATTTTTTAAGTTATAAAATACTAAGAGATTTTATTTGTGTGTGATTTTTAAAAATTGGAAGATGATATGCTAATCAATAGTAATTGATGAGTAGCAGGGCTATGAACGATTTAAAATTTCTTTTGCATGCTTTTCTGCATTTTTCAAAGTTTCTTGTAACACATATATTACCTTGAAAATAAGAAAAATATTCAAGGAAAATGAATTATCAAGGATTGGTCTTTTCTGTGAGCAGTGTGAAACAGTTTTGATGGTTTTTGCTGACAGGGAGCCTGTAATCTCAGACTACATTAATGGAGATATATCCTATAAGATCTGGAATGAGTGATTCATGGTCCTCTCCCCCTTGTGCTGGCCAGGTCTCACCTGGACTCTTATGTTCAGGACTGGCCATCACATTTTATCAGGAATGTAGAAGATGTATATTTACACTCTACTTATACAGAGAAAAGTGTGTGTGTGTGTGTGTGTGTGTGTGTGTGTGTGTGTATTTTCCTATTAATTGATTTAGTAGA